ACATGCACTTGCCAGAGAGAGATGGAGAAAGAGAGAGGAGAAAGCACCCTCCATGGGAAATGGTTACACCACAATCCCTTTTCCTACATCTCTCCCTTCTTTCAGGATTTTGAGCATGTACCACGCATGCTGGTGTGTTTTGCAAGCTCCTGGGTCTGGAACTCGAATCACGGGGTTGACTCTGAGATCTTCTACCTTAACCACCAGGCCACAGACCTGGCCCAGGCATTCATTCTTTTTAAACAATGCTATAATTCTTATTTTTAAACATTTAGCTTGGCTTTTCCTAGTTGCAAAAGGTTTTGCTAAAACATTTGCCTCCATTTGATCATCTCCAGCTAGGAAGAAATATAAAGCCATTCTATTTCCATCTCCCTCAGGTAATTGCTCCCTTTTTCCAGACATACCTCTGATGTGTCACAGCTCATGTGTGCTTTGTAACTTGGGGGTTTGGAGAACATAAATATCTTATCTTTGAACTCATGTTCCACAGTTTGACGTCTGACCTGGTTTTCACATTGCTCCTATGTTTTTATGTCTTATTTTATTTTTTTGAGGAGCTTTAAGAATCTTGATGTCGAGCTCTTTCAAACAGAGTCTTAGGACCACCAAACGTGTAGTGGATAAAACTGCAAGAAAAATGGACCTGTAAAGTATTTTTATTCTATATTTCTCACATGTGGGATATACTGTGTTCACAGAATGGTGCTGGGTTTTGTTGTAAAATGCGACAAAAGCAGTGAGAATCACCCAAAAGTGTGTCCTAGAAGCACTCCCCAGGGACACAGAGAGAGAAGTTTTACATGCAGAGTTGGCAGAGGTCCTAGAAATCAGGAGTTGTGTGAGGCCGTAGGATACAAAGATGGATCACATCTAAAGAGGATTTTAGTTCTCACTGCACAGGAAGTCAAGCTTGGTCTATCAGAGAAATTGAAGAAAAAGGAATGTGGGAGGCTGGGATATGAGAGACTAGGAATAATTATGAAGTACATTTTATTCAAGTTATAATTTAATTTTTTGAGAGGTTTTTGCTACAGGGCACATACGCTCGCCAGCCAGACAGAGAGACAGAAAGAGAGAAATCACCCCCTGGGGGGATGGCCACACTGCAATCCCTTCTCCTCCAGTCTCCACTCGGGATCTTGGGCATGCACGCACATGCGTCCGGTGTGAGTTTTAAGTCACCAGGTTTGGAAGTCGAACCACGGTCAACTACATGGGAGTCCAGCAACATAGCCATTACGCTAATTGCTGGTCCCAAGAATTTATTATTTTTTTGTTATTGTTGATATTGAACAAAATGATTGACTAGAGAGGAAATTATTATTCCATTCTCCTGAAAGACAAAAAAGAAGTTGAAACACACACACACTGGAAGTTTTACCTATTTATTTCTGTCACCCCGCTATTCTTTCTGAATCGATCATGATTTTGAACTTATTGTTTCATTTGTAAATTACAAAAAAGAACAGTTTCCTTATTCTCAAATTTACACAAATTTGTTGCCCATTGTCCCTGCTGTATTCTTTTTTTTTTTTTTTGGAGAGATTTTCACTGTAGGGCGCGTGCGCTCGCCAGACAGACAGAGAGAGACATAGAGACAGAAAGCGAGAAATCACCCCCCAGGGGGGATGGTCACGCTGCAATCCCTTCTCCTCCATTCTCCTCTCGGGATCTTGGGCACGCACGCACACGCGTCCAGCGTGAGTTTTAAGCCACCGGGTCCGGGACACGAACCGCGGTCGAGCACGTGGGAGTCCAGCGACATAGCCATTACACTAACTGCTGGTTCCCCCTGCTGTATTCTGACATGAAATATTGGAGACTCAAATACACAAGTGTGTGCTAAACAGCAGGTCAGGCAAAGATTCACGTTCTCTTCTCTCTGATTGGTGAAGTCAGCTTACCTTAGAAGATCTGTTCTCTTCATTTTGGCTGGTTTTCCAAAAAACTAACCCAAGTCTTGTCTGCAAAAGCTACCACAACATGCTGGCTCTCTGCAAAATAAATTATATGCATGATTTCGACTTGTAAATAAGCACATACATTGAGGGCATAATTTCACAGGTACTGCGATTTTAATGCATTCACATTTCAGTAGCCTCTAAGTTCAGCAAGATGTGAACTAAATAATGATCTATGAACTGTTGCCAGCGAAAAAGTTGATCATTATTTTGTACCCCTGGTAACTTTCAGAATGCAATGAAAGGTGATTGAGACTTATTTCCATGTGCTTATGTTCTCAGTTAGTTATTATTTATATTATAATACCATAAATGTCTGGATAAAGGCTTCAGTACCTATTTTTAAAATGAGAATTCAACTACTATGCTTTCCTGTAGATCTGGTTGCTAGTTCTGTGTTGGTGACTTCATTGCATGTGATGTTTCTTCAACAGCAGGTTGTTTGCTTCAAAGCGATGAGCAACAAATGGCAATATCTAGCTCCTAGAAGATGTCTCACTCTAAATTCTGTGTTGTGTTTGTGGGTTGAAGGAGAGGAGAAGATTTTTTTTGTGTGTGTGTTTATTAAATATTGGATTGCTGCAAAGTCATGACATAATTTTTCTGGTTTTCTTTGCAAAAATGCATCATGACTTTTCTGATGACCCAATAGTTATTCTTAAAGAAAGAAATACTGCATGTTCCTTGTCACCAGGCCACAGCGAAGTTGTAGAGGTTAGTTAACATTTAAAGATCAGAGCAGTTAAGAAACCATTTCTGTAAATAAATGTGAAGGATTCTATGTGATTTTAGGATTCTCATATCATAAAACCAGTTTGTTGTAGATAATTATTAGTGTTCAAATGTCAAGGCCTAATTTTTTTTCTAGTGCTTTAAAAAGTTTTTAGGAAAACCTCAATAAACTTAGTCTAGACTGATTTTCCCCCTAAGATTGGAGAAAAACTCTTAAGGATAACTCAAGAGAATCATTACAAAATGTAGATGGAAAAGGGGAAGATACACAGCAAGTGACACCCATGAACAGGAGACACAGTTTAGTTGGTGATGAAGTATGACACTCCATTTCAGGGTACCTGTATTTGTCCCTCCCTTTCCTCCTTGAGGTATGAGAGCCATATTAATCTGCTCAGGCTGCCACACCAAAGCACCAGAGGCTGAGGATTTAAGCAACAGATAATTATTTTCTCATGGTTCTAGAGGCTTAAAGTCCATGACCAAGCAGGGTTGGCTTCTCCTGAGGTTGCTCTTTTTTTTTTTTTTTTTGAGAAGTTTTTGCTATAGGGTGCATGCCCTCGCCAGAAAGTCAGAGAGAGACAGAGACAGAAAGCAAGAAATCACCCCCCGGAGGGATGGCCATGACGTAATCCCTTCTCCTCCATTCTCCTCTTGAGATGTTGGGCATCCCCATACACGTGCCTGGCGTGAGTTTAAGCCACCGGGTCCAGGACTCGAACCATGGTCGACTACATGGAAGTGGGAGTCCAGAGACATAGCCATTACGCTTGCTGGTGGTCCCCTGAGGTTACTCTTTTTGAGTTGTATATGGCCACCTTCACACTGTGTCCTCACATGGCCTTTCTTCTGTATGTATGCCCCTGGTGTCTTTTCCTCTTCCTGTAAAGTCACTAGTACTATTGAATTAAGGCCCCATTCATATGGCATCATTTAACCTTCGCTACTTCTTAAAGGCCCCACCTTCAGTTACAGTCCATTGGGGGTTAGGGAGTCATGATGTGGATTTGAGAAGATACGAATCAGTCCCTAACAAGAGGAAAGCTTTTTGTGTGAGCTTCCTCAGTTAGATTTACTGCTTCTTGTTTGGTTTTTAACTGGGGAAAAAAAAAAAAAAAAAAAAGCCTTTTATCCCTAATACACACATAAAGATTGTGACTCTCCAAAGACCTCAATCTAGTGAAGAGTAAAGATTCCTCGGAAGGAAGGGCTGTTGAATCCAATGCACACTCTCTGCACGAGCACTGTGTTCAGTGTGACCTCATTCACTATAACTCAGACAAAATTTGAGTCCCTGAGGAATTGTGAAGGTGTGGATGTTCAGAAAGGATGAGATTTTATTGCTTTGTGGAGAGGAAACCAAAACTGTGATGGGTAGAATTGGAGAGCAGAGAGTTGCTCTGGGAAGCAAATTTTAGATCACAAGCAGTGTTCCACTGTCCCAGCCTAGAAGGGACAACTGGTTAGCTGAATGGGCGTGTTATGGTTAACTGCTTTAGCATTTCATGTTGCTCTTTTCATCCTTGGAGCTATAGGAGCCTTTTCCTTTAGCCACTGATAATCTTTCCTAGGCCCCTTATAGTTCTGTGGCAAGCTAAACCGGCTTGCTGCTGGTGTCTATGATACTGGTTGTCCTTACTGAGTCTGCTGGTCTCATATGGCTGCTATGTATTTTGAGGGTTTTTTTTTTTGGGGGGGGAGGACTTTTTCCCTTATAAAATCTGTTGTGTTTCTCTCCTTTTAAATGTGACTTTGCTTACCTAGTACCATTCGGCACAGATGCCATTTAGGAATAATGGAAATTGTCCCTGTTTCAACAAGGTGATAATGCAGTTTTGGCAAACATAGCATTTCTGTGTTCTGAATTTTTCGGGGTTTTCAAAGCAGAATCATGATCCCATATGCACTCATATTTTTAAAAAAATAAAATATTATAACAGCAGGGAAATATCCATTATATATCATTAACTTCATTTTGAGAACCATGCCCATTAGGTCTGTCCCATACACTACTAATTTGGGGTATGAAATGATATGTAGCTCTCTGAGAATGTGCTCTAGGGGAGTCTTTATTGCAGTCAATTCTGGTTAGCACTGTTAGCACATATTTTGTGCACACTGGTGAGTGTTTCTTAAAAATATTTTTGTGAAATCATTAGGAAGTATAAAAACAAATAAAGTGGAAATCAGACACAGTATGTTGTGTCCTTGGAGAATGAAGTGGCTGCTTTTGGAATATGCATTCCAGAATAGGTTTGAATAATAATGTAGTCTTGCCATTGCTTTTTCTTCCTTATTTTCTAGGTACAGAGGCAAGACCTATAGGGCCGTGGTCAAGATTGTACGGACATCTGACCAAGTAGCAAATTTCTGCCGACGAGTTTGTGCAAAGTTAGAATGCTGTCCGAATTTATTTAGTCCTGTACTGGTTTCTGAAAATTGCCCAGAGAACTGCTCCATTCACACCAAAACCAAATACAGTAAGTGCAAACAGTAAAGAAAAATTGACTTAAATTGTATATTTGAATTTTTTTTTTTTTACCTTTTCACTGTTTTTTCATAAGAATTGCTATGGAAGAATTCAATTCCTTAAGATTTGTTGTAGTAGACACATATGTGTTTTTAGCCTGGCATAAGGAAAGGATGGGAATGATTAAAAACAGGATAAATTACTATTGCTAGTCTTGGAAAAGAAGAAATGAAAATATGTATACTGAATGAATTTCAATGGCGTTATTGATTTGGAAGCTGTGAGGCTAGAAGGCAGAGTATGATACAACTAGTCCTTAGTAATGGTTAGGAACCTGAATTGTTGTCTGGGTCCTTGCCCTGGAAAGTTACAATGATCCTTTCATTGCCCTTCATTACAAGGGCCACATCCTTCTCTTTATCTGTTTTTCCTTCTTTAGACATATTCCTCAAAACTCTCTCCAGGGAAGTCATTGGAGAATCCAGAAGCAACCATGAGTCTCTCTACTCCCTACTCTCTTTGCCTTTCCACCAGGATGTGGAACTCAAAGCTGTTACCACTTTCCCTCCATTTATCTCTTGCCTTTTCCATTCCCCATAACATT